TCTTCCCTGCGGGTAGCCTATTTCCTGCATGTCTCTTTATTTTTGTCCCTGCCTGTCTTGAAGACTAAACTGCATCTAGCTGACTTTTTTCAGATTGTATTTCTTAATTCTGTCTCCCTCCATAAACTGCTGCATTTTCTCTCCTGTCCACACTGTCTCACTGAAATTGTATTCAGAAGGCACCAGTGACCCCTTTCTGACCAGATCTAAGACTGATTTATAAGTTTTAACCTTTTTAGCAGCACAGTACCTTTGATCATTTCCTTTTTGAAATGACTAACTCCACCTGTATCTTTCTGTGTGCTTTCTTTACTTTCTAGCCAATTTGCTCCTTTCCTATTACTTAAGTAGCAGCTTTCACCAAGAGTTGGTTATTGACCACCAACTCCTTATCTTGTAGACTTAATGCCTTGGTGAAATCATCAACTATCAAAAGTATTCTTCCTCTCTTTTCTCTGAACCTTTATCTACTTTATTATTCAAAGTCTGACCCTATATGCCCTTATGCCCTGTTTCAAAGGAAGATTCTCTCTGTTAACGCCTTTCTCACTTCAGCTGTTCTTTCATTTGGAATCTGCTAGTTTTATACGTTTTATTGGCAAAATATGAGCCTTAGTAGGTACTAATTAGTATTAGTTGTGAGAATGAATGTTCTTTTTTTTTTTGAGAGGTTTTCGCTCTAGGGCGCGTGCGCTCGCCAGACAAAGAGAGACAGAAAGCGAGAAATCACCCCCCAGTGGGGATGGTCACGCCACAATCCCTTCTCCTCCATTCTCCTCTCGGGATCTTGGGCACACACGCACACGCGCCCGGTGTGAGTTTTAAGCCACTGGGTCCAGGACGCGAACTGCGATCGACTACGTGGGAGTCCAGCAACATAGCCATTATGCTAACTGCTGGTTCCCAAGAGAATGAATGTTCTTGAATGTAATAGTGGAAAGTCAGCATGAAACTAGAAGTAAGAATCAATGGAAAATTGGACAAATGGAATAAAACCAAGGCTTAGTTACCTTAAAGAAGTTATAAATGTAAAGTACCACAATGGAAATTAAAATTTTGTTAAAAGCTTCCCTAAAAATTAAGTAAGAGTCTCTAAGAAGGTATAAGAAGGTGAAGGTCAAGATGATGATCTAAGAGGTAAAATGATAATGAGAAAGCAAACAGTGGCCATATTTACCTGATAACTTCGCCCCACACTATTCTTTAGTAGACAATTAATTTAATAACCTTTAATAACTTACTAATGTACCAGGCATTGTGAAGGAACAGAGGGCAATAATACTATTTATTTATTGACTATCCAGAGTTGACAGTCTTAAGAGTTAATTCTGGTTTTCTTAATTAATTAATTTACTTTCATTAATTGAACATTGTCATAGTATACAAAAAAAAGGGAAAAAATATACCGAATATCTGCACTCTATAGCAGAAACTGAAATATTGGATGGCATAAAGACATGAAGAGCAACTGTGGATCCAAAGACAGTGTGAGAGGAGGGTGGGAGCAGTGAAAAGAAGAGAGGCAATCAAGGAGGGGGAAAAAAAGAAAGAAGTAAAATATGTAAAAAGTACAAAATGGAAAATTATCTGTTGAAGATAATATGTATGGTAATATATTGAATTGAGCCAATATACAGTATATTCTGGATGGGAAAATTCATTTTGTATGTGTAATAATATATAGTGAATGAATGCAAAGTAAATAAATAATCTTTTAAAAAAGAGTTAGTGGGGGCTGGCAGGTAGAGTGGTGGTTGAGGCGCTGGATTCCCACATGGCCGACCACGTTTCAAGTCCTGGACCTGGAGGCTTGCTTTCTCACTCTCCCTTTCTCTCTGTCTGTCTCTCTCTGGTCAAAATGGAAGAATAATGATAATAAATATAATTTAAAATAAATAAATCTTTAAAAAAAAAAAAAAGAGTTCTGAGCTAGCTCGGTCTTTACAAGAAGTATATAGTACCATGGGAAATCTTTGAGTGGGTAATGACTTCTCTCTGGATGATTAAGGGAAGCCATCATGAAGGAGGTAGAATCAAACTGGGATTGAAAACCAGGTAAAATCTTAAGAGATTTGTTGAAGAGAATAGCACAAGCAGAAGTTCAAAACTAACAAGGCTTAGGATCTATTGGGAGAAGAGTGAGTTACTCATTTATGAAGCCCAGACCCACCTCATGGCACTGGAGCCATGAGGTAATGATTGGAAAAGTAGGGCTGACCCATTGATGCCAGACTTAGACATTGAGACTTATTTGCCAGACTGTGAGAAGCTACTGAGAGCAAAACTATGATTTTTTTTTTTTAATGGAGATTAGTTGGATGGCAGTGAGTAGAGTATTTTGGGACCTAAATAGTTTGAGGGCTTACCATAAACTAAATGAAAAGTGGTACCAACAGATGACGTAATGGTTACGTCACTGGACTCCCATGTTGTCGACTGCAGTTCAAGTCCCAGACCTGGCAGCTTAAAAACTCACGCCAAGCACATGTGCATATATACCCAAGATCCCGAGAGAAGAGTGGAGGAGAAGAGATTGCAGCATAGCCATACCCCCCAGGGGGTGATTTCTCACTTTCTGCCTCTCTGTCTCTCTATGTCTCTCTGGCAAACACACATGCTCTATAGCAAAAATCTTTTTCTTAAAAAGAAAAACTTAAATGAAGAGTGATATAAGTCTATAGTGAGTGGGATATAAGGGAAAACATAAAAGATTTCAAAAGTAAATAGGAATTAGTAGCAGTAGGAAAGGGAACAACCTAAATGTGACTCTAAAGTTTCATATTTTTGGAAATAGTGATACCAAGGAAAATAGCAGGTCAGGGCGCAGCGCCTGCGCGGGCCCCCCTGGGCCTGGCGTGGTGCAGAGCTCCCGGGCCCGGCGTGGCACGGTGTGGTGGC